CTAATAAGTAATTTCAGCTAGGCAAAAGTTAAAACCATGATTGTCTAAAAATACATAGTTCTTAATATCTATCATAACCTTATAATTTTATTTTATAAAGTAACACTATTATCTTTCCCAATTATAAGCAACACAGTTTTAAGCAGGTATTTAAACATACAGAAAAATATTGAGAAGAAAATTAAAATTGTTCAAATTTCTATTTCTCAGAAATAGATATTATTATATTTTAGAATTTCTTCCAGTCTTTATGGATATATATATATTTGATAAGTATCTTATTAAAATTGTGTTCATATTTTTCTGTACCATTTTTCCACATTTAGCAATATATGCTTGTACTGTTTATATCTTATACTGGTGATACATTTTATATTCAGCAATATATTATTTTCAATGGTTGAATCATCTATTCATTTTCTCTCAAACTTTTCCATCATAGTACTATGAATCACAGAGGAAAAGGCGTTAGTCACAGCCCCAAAGAAACAAAATTACTTTAAAGCTTTATGCTTTCTCTTTGGCATTCTACTCTATATAGTTTGGTTTACTTCAAATGTCACATATCATATTAAGTTATTTAACTTTTCTTCTTAAATCTTCAAGCAAACCCAGTGAAGTTGCACCAAGTTTATTTGGTGGCATTGTATATACCTCCTGGCATGTTGCTTTGGAGGTCTGCTTACCCAGCTTTAGAAATGCTGGTTTAATTTATGATTTTATAAAGCATCTGCCTGATTCAATAGTGAAGCCTTGTTGTAGAAATTCTGTGCTAGGAGTTTAAGTGGGAAAGGGAGGCACTTCTATTACATAAAGCTGCAAAGAGAAGACAGTTCAAGTTCGAATTCCAAAATCTTACTGGTTTCTATCATCCCCAATAGTAAAGTCAATTCTGTAACAGAGTGGAAAAGAACCAGTTTACTTAGGTGACTGTTAGTGTTGTGCCCACGTATTGAGTTATCATTATTATTACTATTTAGATTAATAGTAAATTTTCAGCCCAGATTTCCTACTTCTTGTATTAGGCTTTGGAGATGAAATAGACAAGCTCCTCTTGTACTTGAGGAGCTCAAACTCAGTGGGAAATATACACATGTAAATATGTACCTATCTATAGATATAGGTCACAATCATACCTTGTATTGAGTTCTATAATATATTGTATGTATGGTATAAAGTGACATATACTCATTCCTGCACATGTACTTCAATGCTTGTGTTGGTTATTACTTGACTTTGTACTTTTTCTTAACTGGAAACACAGACTGCTTTAAGCAGAAGCATGTACTGGGCAATGTTAATGAAGTAACAATGACCATTGTCTAGACATATCTTGGAATGTCCCATGTTAGGAAACTGTGTTCAGATGCCAGTGCTAGAAAAACATAGAAAAGTGAAGGTGCCTTAGATCATGCGAATAAGAGTGGGAAGGTAAGTTTTAAAATAGTCTACAGATTCCTGGGAGTAAACATAAAGAACAAGAGGAATGGTCTGACAGATAAGACAAGAAATGGATTCTGAGGCAGAGGGTAGGAGGACTTATAAACTGAATTATGTAAGACCAGTTTCTATCCCTGACATAATAAAGCAGAATATCAGAATATAAAGACCCCAGGATAAATCAGGCAGCTGGGACCAATGTGAAGGGGTTTTCTGATCTCCTCGAAGAAAACTTTTGGGACTGGATCCATCTTATAAGCCTTCTCTGCAAGACTAACTATGGAGCCCAGCACAGCCAGGCGGTAAGAAAAGCCCATTCCATTTTATCCCCTGCTTCTGTGTCTGGTGGGCACACATCTCTAAAGCCAAGGGATGAAGAGGGGATCGTGAAAGTCACACACAAGGGTTCTTTGTTTAACACCTGAAGCTCAAACACCGGACCTGTTTTAAGGTCTTGGGTGTGAGTATGTATATTTGGTCACCCAGGAATGAAATTAGAAATCCAAGCTTTTCATATTTATCAGCCACTCAGAGGTGGCTTGAGAGATAGTCATTAAAAAAAGTAGATATTAATTTTAAATCATTCCCCATGATTCCGCTCAGGTCACATGTCTTCTAGCAGGCCTTTCCTAAAACCTCCAGACTATTAGGTATCCGTTTTCTGCAGTCCTAAAGCATTATGTGTGTACCTCCACGGTAGCAGTGGCAGTATAGTAATGTGGACAGAGCAAGGTTTTGAGTACAACAAACCAAGATTGGGAAGTTACACTATCTACCTGAGGCTTAGTTTCTTTATCTCTACCATAAGGTTGATGCCAATGACACCGGAATGTGTAGTGTATAGTGATGTGTATCAGTGCTTAATAAATAGCATTATTAGTAGTAGTATTAATGCCCATTATTATACAGTGCTTATATGTATTGTACCTGACTTATTTACATCGCATCTATGAGCTCCTTGAGGGCAGGGAATTGGTCATATTCATTTTTATAACACCATCAACTAGAATAGTGCATCACAATTAGGAACTCAATACATGCTTAGTGGATGAAAAAATAATAGCGTTTTCTAGAATCAAAGAGTAAGACTCTGCCTATGCTGTAGGAAATCAGGGTAGTCTTCACAGAACGGGTGACTTTTTAGCAGGATCTTGATGGAGGAATAGGTTTGTGGTAGCCCCCCAAAAGATATAACCATACCCTAATTCCTAGAACCTATGAATGTTATATTATACGTCAAAAGATGACTACTAAGTTATACGGCAAAAGATAAGATTAAATTAAGGATCTTGGTAGGAGGATCCTATCCTGGATTATCCTGGCAGGCCTTAAGTGCTATCACAAATGTCCCTATAAGAGAGAGGCAGAGGGAGATCATACATACACAGAAGAGGAAGAGGTAACGTGACCATGGAGGCAGAGTTTGGAATGATGCTGCCACAAGTCAATGAATGCTGGGAGCCACCAGAAGCTGGAAGGTTAAGAAAGTGATTCTGCCTGAGAGACTCCAGAGGGGATGAGGTCCTTCTGACACCTTGATTTTGAACTTCTTCCCTCCAAACTGTGAGAGAATGAATTTCTGTTGTTTGAAAGCACCCAGTTTGTGGTAAATTGTACAAAAGCTACAGGACACTAATACAAGGTGTTGAGTAGGTTGGGCTGGAGGTGGAGTGAAGCATATTCTGGGCATAGAGAACATCTGGAGGGATTGGTTTGGTTCATTATGGAAACTGGGTATATGAAGAAGATTGCTGGGAGATGAGTGTGGAAAGAATTTTGGAATCAGAGAACAAAGTTTGGACTCCTTTTGAGAAATGAGAACATTTATTTATTTATTTATTTATTTATTTATTTTTGTAAGCAAATTGGAGATAAAGGAAAGAGAAGAAATAGATGGAACAATGTCTGGGAGGAGCTGAGAAGGGAAATTACCAGGAACACAGAAAGAAGAAGGGTTTTTTTCCTAAGGTACATGGGGTAAAGGAGAGTTTGGTTGCAGATAGGTACATTCAGAGGTGACACGAAGCAAAATGGAGTTCATTACAAAAAGACTATTTTTTATTCATAGGACATAAGAACATCTGCAGAATGAGGGAAGTCCATGAGAGAGGCAGGAGGATTTGAGAACTGCTTTAGAAAAGAAGTGCAGGGAATAGGAAGCACAGTGGTCAGGACCTTTGAAGGCCTGGTTAAGGTGGTTGATCAAAATTCTGAATGGTCCCAATCAGCATGACCAGTGGCAATTTTGGAAAACCCAAATGGCTTTATTAACTCTATTTAATTACTTATAAAGCCATTATAGCAGAACATGGGCTCTTTTCTATTGAGATGTCCTGAGAAATAAGTGTGTTAATATATGCAAAGAATTTAGCACAGTGTCTAGCACATACTAAGTACCCAGATTTATGTTAAAGTGAAAAATAACAGCTACATAGTGGAATTCAGAGTGCTGAGAACGTAATTGAGATGTTAGATCATTCAATCTGAGATTACTAGGAAAAGAAGTAAGAAGAAGCTGTTTATAGAGTGAAGTGGGAAGCACTGAGAACCTAGAATTTTTTTTTTCTTCCTATTAAAGATATTTGAAAACAGGTTTGGGAGGAATAATCAAGAAATAGAGGACATAATATAATTAGATGAGATTTCCAATCCTAAGGTTTTAGTGAGGATGATAAGGCCCAGGGTGTAACCAACAGAGTTGGATCCTGAGTAAGAGTATTTATGAAGGTGATTAGAATTGAAGAGGTGAATGTTTTACATGGGCTGAGTCACCTGGAAGTTGATATTGCCCAGGATGAAGGCAAGATTTAGGATTCATACGTAAACCATGAAAAGGATAAGAACTCAGATGTGTGACCTTAATTAAAGGAGAAGAAACTTTTGAAAAAATCTAGAGTAAAAAAATAGTGAAAGAGGCCATCTGGAAGGACAAAATACCGAAAGAGGCATGGAGTAGCTAGAAAGACAGTCTTCCTACTATTTAACACTGATAATTTAAAGACTTCAAGAGAATAACAGCCACTTAAATCAATGTGCCTTAATCAGGAAAAAATCAGATTTTAGTTAAGAAGACGATTTCCCAGAAAACGGATTAATGGCAGAATTACAGATTTTTTCCAATGCAATGAAGATTCCCAAAGGCACAGGAGAAGCAGTTAGAAGAAGGGAAATGGCTCAGGGAAGAGGAAGGGCTGGTATGGATGAAGAAGACAGTCTGTAAGATGATAGGTGACCAGGGGAGTTTTTACTTATGCAGTTATTGTAAACCTTTAGGAATAAAGAGAGTAGCTAAGAAAAATAGAGTAATGGAAGTAATTTTCTCAGGGTTTCTGAAAGAACTTCTGTGCAAAGTTATTTTGCTGCCTAAAGGACATGAGAATTTCACGGTAAAGTTTCATATGCAAAGGGCCTCCCTGTTATCCACCACTGCATATACTGCTCTTTCTTCAGTTTCCAGCCCTGGACCTGGAAATAAATGCAGTTCCTCAGATACTCCCGATTCTTCTCTATTAAGATAGTAAAAGCAATACTTGCTTTTATCTTCTAAAGGAATAACTTACCTCCAAATACACATTCTGGGGTGAAAGAGATGTCATCAAGGGCAATAAAGATGTCCTCATCTCCAGCCAAATCAGCTTCAAATGCCACCTTAAATGGGCTGTTACTAGAGAGAGGAACGTATCCATATATCCATCCAGTTCTTTTATTTCCAATCACTGACCACACCAGAATGTTGAGCCCAGATTCTTCAATAGTGTATACCTAACAATAGGAAAAACAAAAGTAACTATTTGTGTTCTGAATATTGGAAGTGTACGGGCATTTAAGTTGTTGGTTAATGAAAGAGTGGAGCTTCTGTCAACGTGACAGCTTAGTAACTTCAATACAGTATTTTCCACCCGCAAAGATTAGGGGTCATAAAGTGAGCCCGTGAATATTACATGTTCTTTGGTTAACTGGACCTTTGTTTGGCTTTATTATACCAATTTGTGTACACCAAATTGGACATGATAAAAAACCATCTCAGCATCTAAAAAGCTGGAGGAGATGTAAAACTAGAATTTCTCATTGATAAAAAATTTTATCTATATCAGACATAGGTTACACTACTGGAGATTAAGAGGAACCTTACAATATATGTACATGAAAGTACATAAGTCATTTCAGAAACCAAAGTAATGTGCAGAAAATATTTAACATTTTAACAGATGAAAAATTTTTCTGATTTACCTAACATCAATATTCATAGCTTTTAGAAGTGCAAGGACTAACAAGTTGAACAAAAAAAAGCAAAATAAAAGTAGAGTTAGTATTGACACTAACAACCATGCCAAGTTCTAATCATTTTTCTAAATGGTAAAAACTAATTAAAACAAAGAAAACAAAAAAATGCCATGCCCTAGTGCTCATTAAGAAATCTACATTTACACACAATGCAGCAAGGACTTAAAATGTGTTTTTCTCTATTAACTTTTTTAAACCTAACTTTGGAGCCCTGGTGGTGCAGTGGTTAAGAGCTCGGCTGCTTACCAAAAGGTCAGCAGTTCAAATCCATGAGCCAGTCCTTGGAAACCCTGTGAGTCAGTTCTGCTTTGTCCTGTAGGGTCGCTATGAGTTGGAACCGACTCAATGGCAACGAGTTTGCTTTTGGTTTAACCCAACTTATATACTCTTCTAGTTATTATTTCCTCATATGCTAAAATGTCATATATATTTAAAGTGTTAAAAAGCAAAGACGTCATCTTGAAGACTAAGGTCACCTGATCCAAGCCATGGTCTTTTCAATCGCTTCATATGCATGTGAAAGCTGGACAATTAATAAGGAAAACCAAAGAAGAATTGATGCATTTGAATTATGGTATCGGCAAAGAATATTGAACATACCATGGACTGCTAGAAGAATGAATAAATCTGTCTTGGAAGAAGTATAGCCAGAATGTTCCTTAGAAGAGACATTTGCATGAATTTGAGAGCTAAATATCTGCCAATTGCTGGAGGTGAAGACTTTTTGAGATTAGTTTGGCTTATGTGTAAGACTGGAGACAGATAATTGACCCAAATTCTTTCATATTGAATTTTAGCTTATTTTATTTATTGAGGGAAATGTTTTGTTGTGGTTTTTAGGTGCCATCGAGTTGGTTCTGACTCATAGAGATCCTACAACAGAAATGAAACACTGTCCAGTCCTGCACCATTCTCACAGTTGATATTTTTGAGCCCATTGTTGTAGCCACTGTGTCAATCCGTCTCGTTGAGGGTCTTCTTCCTCTATTTCTCTGACCCTCTACTTTACAAAGCATGATGTCCTTCTCTAGGTACTCGTTCTTCCTGATAACATGTCCAAAGTACGAGAGACCAAGTGTCACAATCCTTACTTCTAAGGAGCATTCTAGCTGTACATCTTCCAAGACAGATTTGTTAGTTCTTCTGACAGTTCATGGTATATTCAATATTCTTTGCCAACATCATAATTCAAATGAGTCAATTCTTCTTTGGTCTTCCTTATTCATTGTCCAGCTTTCACATGCATATGAGGTGATTGAAAACACCAGGGCTTGGGTCAGGCGTACCTTAGTCTTCAAAGAGACATCTTTGCTTTTTAACATTTTAAGGTCTTTTGCAGCAGATTTGCCCAGTGCAACACGTTTGATTTCTTGATTGTTGCTTCTATGGGTGTTGATTGTGGATCCAAGTAAAATGAAATCCTTGACAATTTCAATACTTTCTCCATTTATCATGATGTTGCTTATTGAACCAGTTGTGAGGATTTCAATATACAGTATAGGTTTTGTTATTATTCTTGTGATTGTTATTAAGTGTAATAGATCATCTACTGTGAAAAAGGGGTTAATACAGTAGGATGAGTCATGAGGGTATTAACTGGGTGATTTATTATGAGGAGCTGATATTCTTTTATGAGACTGAAAAAATAATTTCAGTGTGCAATTTCAGGTCTTTCATATTTTTTAAAAGCATTTGTAGGATCCTTGTAAAGAGGGTGTTTGTAACTAAGCGGAATGAGAAGCAGAGAGCTTTAGAAAATTTCTGTGTTTCCAATCATTAGTGAGTCACAGAGCAGGGTTTAAGACACAGCTTTCTTGTATTCCAGCTGTGTAGCCTTTCCTGTACTTCCCTTGGTTGGCCATAAACATTACTGGATATATCAGAAGAGGAGAACTGAAAAAAAGTATAGCTACTATGTATGTGGAAATTGAAATAGCTGATTTGTATTCAGCTCTACAACATTAAACTCACATTCGTTCAAAGAGACAGATTATTTAGGAGTAATCAGAAATAAAGCACAAACAAAATGCTGCTTAATAGCAGACTGACCTGTGTAACATTCAAGGCTAGCCTGATACTTACATGTTTTTTTCTCCCAACTAGTAATATTAATGTACCTTCAAAATGCCTTCAAAACACTTCCCCACTCAAAGTGAAGGGAAACTTAGACCGTAAAATAGCAAATAGAACAAATAGAATTGTGAGTTGATTTACTTTTCTTTCAGTATGTTCTGCAAAAATTGGAAATATTTGGAAAAATCTTTTTTGGCCCTGATGGCTAACTGAAAACACATATTTACTTACACTCCCCACGGGGAATGTTCCATTGAAAAGACAGGAAAAATACCGAAATAAATCCACAGAAGCACTGGGAGACCAGGAACAGTGCTAACAGCATATAAAAATAGTCAGGGTTTTCTGGAAGTTTGAAAACAAATGAAAATTGATTGAGAAAAATACACAAGAGAACCGAGGAATTTGTGGCCACCTACAGGAGAAAGAGAAGACCATCGTGTAAATAGAGTTGTTCCCAGCATACTTCTAGAATAACTTAGAGAAGGGTTGCTTAAAGAAGGAGCTGTGCATATGTCACCAACTAGTAATTAATCAAAAGACTACCAGAAAGCCAGGTCAATCCTTTGTGTGTTGAGAATTATTGATTCTAGCATTTGTACCTAGAACACATAAGGTGAGTAAACATTGTTTAAGTGAGAGTTTCAACATAGCCGTTCAAACATAAGAGTGGGCACTGGGCCAGATAAGTGAGGCATTGTACCTTATGACTACCCTGAAGTCCTTCTACCTTCTTCAACAAAGAAACAAGCTACTAGCACATTAAACCCCCCAAAAACCCTTTACCATGAACTAGCACATTAGTACATCATAAATGTAAGCTCACTAGATCATACATCTCCTTTTTTATACCAGAACAACGTAAGATTAAACAACAACAACAACAAAAAACCTGTTGCCATAAGTCTACTCCAGCTCATAGCAACCTTATTGGACAGAGTAGAACTGCCCCACAGGGTTTCCAAGGAACGGCTGGGGGATTCAAACTGCCGACCTTTTGGTTAGCAGCTGAATTCTTAACCACTAAGCCACCAGGGCTCCATAACATAAGACTAGAAATCCTCAAATCAGAACCCAATTAGAAAACACTGTTAGAGGAATGATATTTCTTACTTGGTCTGAGGAAAGAAAATACAAATAGTAATATTATTCAGTCTAGATTCTCATCCAAGTATAGGAATAGAAAACCAAGAGTAAGTAACCTGATAATTAAGGAAAACTATAAATGAGAGGCACAAAATTAAAGAGAGAACCTAACACCACAGGGGAGACTGCTGATGGAACAAATGAGAAAATATATAAAGAAGTGTAATTAATTCTCTTGAGAGATTTGGGTGTCTATCGCATCTATAAGGTTGTTGTTATTGTTAGTTACCAAAGTGTCAGCTCCAATTCATGGTGACCCCCATATACAACAGAACAAAGTGTAGCCTAGTGCTGTACCATGTTTATGATCATTGGTATGCTCGAGTCCATTGTTGAGATCATTGTGTATTTTGAGTACCTTCCAGCCTAGGGAGCTCATCTTCCAGCACTGTATTGGACAGTGTTCTGTTGTGGTCCATAAGGTTTTTTCATTGACTACTTTTTGGAAGTGGATCGCCGGGTCTTTCTTCCTAGGCTGTCTTAATCTGGAAGTTCTGCTGAAATCTGTCCACCATGGTGACCCTGCTGGTATTTGAAATACCAGTGGCATAGCTTCCAGCATCATAGCAATATGCAGGTCACCCCAGTACAACAAACTGACAGACAGGTTGTGGATCTATGGCATAGAACAGGCTAACATGAAAAAGAAGAATTCAAGTTATTGAAATTAATAATATGATTGCTAAAACAAAAACCCATGGATGAACTGAATAGTGGGATCCATGCATTAAAATCCAAAATTGAAATGTAAAAATGAACAAAGAGATCCTCCCAGACCACAGTGTCAAAAGACCAAGAGATGACATTTTTGAGAATAAATGTTAGGGTATAGTGAGGATAGATTTAGACGTTTCCCAGAGCTATCTAATTGTTCTAGAAGGAAATAAATAAATGACAGATGATAATTTCTCTGGGTGAAAAATGATGAGGACCCATCAAATTCTTTTTCCAGAGATATTTATGAATTGAAAGGATAAAAAAAAATCTTACCCACTTCCAGAGAAAAAAATTAGGACATGTACTAAGGAAAAATAACCAGACTGACACCAGTCTTCTACATGGCATGCAGGTGTTGAATATTAGAAAAAAATGCAGCAATATCTTCAATTGTTATTAGTTGCCATCAAGGAGATGCTGACTCATGGCAACTCCATGTGTGCAGAGTAGAACTGCTCCGCAGGATTTCCAAGGCTGTGACCTTTCAGAAGCAGATCACCAGGCCTGTCTTTGAGGGCCTCTGGGTTGGTTTGAACTGCCAA